AAGATTTACTATTACAGTTTATTGCAATTGCTAACAGACGTTTCATTTTCTCAAAACACTGTAGTTTGTTGGACAAAGGTTTGGTAATATGAACGAAGGGTGTGTCATGTATTGCAACAGCTTTATTTTGAGTTTTTATGTACATTAGTTTTGAGTGCAGTGCCTCATTCTGCAGAATATATGAGGTGTTTTGCACTTTAGGTGGGTGGTTTTGGGAATTGTGTAAGGTGTTTGGAAAATGAGCCCTTTTCTTTTTAAACGTGCTGATATGAGATCTAGGCTGAGATTTGCTCACTGCGTGTCAGTTTAAATAATGATGCTTTATGTTTCATTTAAGTGTGTGAGCAACTGAAAAAAACTGTAACAATTACATGAACACAATAACTAGCTGCTGCCTCTTCAGACCTAACACTTCCCCCTGTTGGTATATATAACACTGCAGGTTGATTAACCTGTACCGCTCTACCTTGTTCCTGTCGCTCCAGAACTGTCTGATCCGGGTGACGTCTCGAGGTCGGGAGGCTCTGGTGACCGACTTCGGCCTGGCCAGGGAAGTGGTGGAGCTGCCAGTCAAAGACCCCGGCAGGAAGCTGTCCCTGGTGGGCTCCGCCTTCTGGATGGCCCCTGAGATGCTCCGAGGAGAGCCATACGACCGCAAGGTGACACAAAGTTCTGTTTGTACGGAACACTGCCTCAGCTGGATGCACATTCTCATACATTTTTGACACATAGAAGTCACATGGTCGCTGTAATGTTTAAAACGACATTGACAGAAAGTGAATAAAATGTACTTCTAGTCTAAGTTTAGATGACACACTTTTATAGTATTGTAACTTTTGTGCTTTTTTGCTGCTTGGTGTCGAAACAACCACTACATTTGGGATTAGTTTGAGTTCTTTATGTCTTACTTGTTGCAGGTGGATGTTTTCTCCTTCGGAATTGTTCTCTGTGAAATTCTGGCCAGGATCCCAGCGGACCCAGAGATACTACCCAGAACACAGGTAGCGAACAGAAGCCTGTTATTACACACCCAGTCATATCAATGGTCGGCCATGTTATTACCTTGACCTGATACTGAGACTACAGTCACTTTGTTTTGATTTGTGTAGAACATTAAAGAAAATCCCCATAAGAAGTTTCCATTTAACAAGAAGCTAAATGGGTTTTTAGCCTAGCTGAGCTATCTAACAGGAAACATGGGGAAACAGCTTCTAGTTTTCTCCAAAAAAAAGCATATGCAACACCATTAAGGTTACTAACTAAGAGGGTTGGGAGGGTTACTTTTAAAATAATTCCGATTCAATTACTAGTTACCTAATGTTAACTGCAGGTCAGACATGAGGAATATAAAGAGATTTTTGAACATTAAAGCAGTCACAGCAGAGGCCAAATACAAATATGAACCTGATAAACAGGCATAATAAGTCCCCTTCAATCAAAATGTGTATAGTATGCGCTCATGTGTATAATATGCGCTCATGCTTCAGAGACAGCTGACCATGTGTTTCAGGACTATGGGCTGGATGTGAATGCGTTCAGGAAGCTGGTGACTGGTTGTCCTCCACGTCTCCTGGAGTTAGCAGCCAGCTGCTGTATGGTATGTAGAGCTTTCAATATTAATAGAATAAACAATATAACTGAATACTTTTTTTTCCATTTAAAGTTTCTATTTGTTTTTTTTTAATTAAGCTTTGAATGTCTGTATATTTTTGTGTTATTTTGATAATATAAGTTTTATTTATGGTGCTGCTAGAATGCTGTACAATCTGTAGATAAAGATATGTATATTGAGTGCGGTGAAAATGTTTCATTTTGTCTCAGGACAAAAAACGAAGGAATATTTAGTTATTGCATTGTTATCGCTAAAACTCCCTAAGCACAGTGCAACCACTTACACATTATTGCGCCAATACCACAAAGTCATGAATATAACAATAATATAATAATCAATGTTATAGTATTAGATGTGGGAACAAGTCCTAAAACCCAGAAATGAGTTAGCATTTTAGCTCTAAGTTTTAAAAAAACGTTTTTCCTGTTATGAGATCTGTCATAACACAAGATTAAGAGATTTTTGTTTTCTATGACATGGAATGTTTAAATACCCCACTCGTGAATGTCAGCTTCTATGTGTCATTAAAATAGTGGTTGGCAACAAGCATCTAAATGAAACTACTCAACGTCCGAACATTAAGAAACATAACAATTATGAATATATTTCACTTAACTGTATTAGGTTAGTTGAAAGCAATAATATTAAATTGAAATACAAATATTTGGTTCGACTTAATATTATTGCTTTCAACTAACCTAATAGTTATGTGAAGTCTGTTGACATAATACATTTAATTAAAGTCAACATTTCAGTTTAAAAGACCACATGAAAGACGACACACGAAGTGAGGATACCAGGCCCGGAGGAAGCCCGGGGCCCCCTTCTGGAGCCAGGCCCAGAAGGAGGACTCGTCGGCGAGCGTCTGGTGGCCGGGCTTACCACGGAGCCCCGGCCGGGCACAGCCCGAAAAGGCAACGTGGGCAACACCTCCGCTTCTCCGTCCCAAGGGCCCACCACCTACGGGAAACAGCGATGGGGTCAGGTGCGCTGCCAGAAGGGTGGCAGTGAAAGCAGAGGGTCTCAACGGACCAGACCCGGGCGACAGAAGCTGGCTTTGGGGACGTGGAACGTCCTTCTGGGGGGGGAGGAGCCGGAGCTTGTGCGGGAGGTGGAGCGTTACCAGTTGGATCTGGTTGGGCTCACCTCTACGCACAGCGTCGGCTCTGGAACCTTACTTCTGGATAGGGGTTGGACTCTATTCTTCTCCGGAGTTGCCCAAGGTGTGAGGTGCCGGGCGGGTGTGGGGATACTCACAAGCCCCCGGTTGGGTGCTTCGTTGTTGGAGTTTACCCCAGTGGACGAGAGGGTCGCCTCCCTACGCCTGCGGGTTATGGGAGGGAAAACTCTGACTGTTGTGTGTGCTTATGCACCCAACAGCAGTTCAGAGTATACGGCCTTCTTGA